TCTTAATGCTCAACTACTCTTCAGTTAATTTTACTTGTTTGTTTGCTTGTTTTGGGGGGTTTTTTGTTGTTTTTTTTTTTGTGATCCTAATCTTCCCTGGCACAACTTAATGCAATTTCCTCTCATTCTTTCACTTGAGACATTGCAGAGGAGACTGACCCCTAATTCACTACAACCTCCTTTCAGGTGGTTGTAGAGAACAATGAAGTCCCTCCTAAGCCTCCTTTTCTCCAGGCTAAACAGCTCCAGTTCCTGCAGCTGCTCTTGATAAGACACATTTTCTAGACCCTTCCCCATCATCATTGCCCATCTTTGGGCATTCTCCAATGTCCATTTTGAACCAGTGACACAGAACTGGACTAAGTACTTGAGGTGCAGCCTCATCAGTGCCAAGTACAGGGGAAGGATCACTTTGCTGATCCTGCTGGCCACACTATTTCTGATACAGGCCAGGATGCCATTGGCCTTTTGGCCACCTGGGCACACTGCTGGCTCACTCACATTGAGCCAGATGTTAACCAACACCCCCTAGTCCCTTTCTGCTGAGCAGCTTTGCAGCTGCTCTTTCCAAGCCTGTAGCAATGCATGGGGTTGTTGCTAGCCAAGTGCAGGACCAACAACAATAATAATGGTGCAGTGCAGAGAAATACACAACTGGTACCTATTCTGCAGTCCTGAAAGTTGGAGGCATGGGATTTGGGGCAGAGAGGTACAGACATGGGATGACACAAGACTGTGCACTGACTGATACAGGAGCCCCTGGGACTATAAACAACTCTCCAACAGTCAAATAAATTCAGGAGTGGAGCTGGTCAAAACCGATTTCAAGGGCACCAAAGAAATGAAAGAAGATATGCAAAATTTACCACCTATTGTAAATCATATATACATTAAATATAGTGAATGTAGTACAGTAAAACATACAGTAAATGTGTCATGGAGATGCAGACCAGAGCAGAGCAAAGGTTTAAGAGCACATTAGCACAATGAAAGATGACACCAAGCAGATCGCCCAGTCATGAAGAAGCCACCAGCATTGTAGTCCTCTCAGTAAAGGACAGAATGCTGACAGCTTGCCATCCTTGCTCTCCTCTCCCCCCAACACACACCGCCCTGCTGCTCAGTCCGAAGCTGTGATCTCAACTCCACTAAGATTAGCACTGATGACAGAAAAGTGCCTACCCTGTTTTGAGGTCATAGTTACATCTTTCACAACAAAGTACAGCTCAGTGCAAGAAATACTGCCAATTTTCTTTGACTTTTCACATACAGAGTCCAGCAGCAAATTTGGTTTTCATTACAAGTAGTTTCACATTGAAGTGGATCTGAAGAGTTGAGTCAAAGGTGTGATTTTTGTTGTACTGATACCCAAACAGCTCTGAGTGTGCATGTGTAGATTCCTCTCCCAGAATGGAAGCAGAAGAAAGGAAAAAAAACCACCAACTTGATTTGTTGAGCATAATTGTATGGATAATCTCAACCCATTACTTTGTGGCACAGAACAGTTTTCCATTCACACATCCATCTTCCCTGAAATAGAAGACTATTCTTACATTTTATTCACTTAATGGTTTTGATAGAAAATCTGTTTTGCTGCAGATGAGGGCCCTGGAGGGTTTTGGACTATTGTAATACATAAGAGCTGCCTGACATTGCAGCATTCGTTCTCCACTACGATTGCCTAGCAGGGCTAAAAGCACTGATGTCTTTTACAGTTCTGGTATTGCCATTATCCATTTCAATGGGGTTTAAATGTAAAAGTGAAACTGATGGTGTTACAGCATGAATTTCAATCATGCTAAGAAAGAAGATATTGATGGGAGCCAGCAAGGGAGCTCTGAACAAATATATTGCAAGGAAGAAGCTGAAAGGCTGATTGCTATAAGCCCAGTGATTCTGTGTTTTCAAGTGACAGAGCTGCCACACATTAAAACACTGTAACTCAGGGGTAGCAAAACTAATGAGAAAGCAGTGAGACTGTTTTGCAGGAGCTTAAGGAGTTGGATTTTAATTTCCACAGCAGACAAGCAAAGCTGTGAGCAACCTTGACACAAACTGAAAACAGAATCACAGTGTTACGTGGTTCATTGAAGAACCTCTGTCACAACTATGGCTCTGATTCCTGCTTGGATCCAGACAAATATCCATGAGAGTTTCCTCTGGGGCTGTGGTCAGCAATTCCCTTGCCTGCCTTTGCATACCCTGAGACTTAATGTCATCACCAAGAAACATGCAATTTTGTGAGAAACACAGACAGTTTTTGAGGATCTCCACATTTACCTTGAGCTGCAAACAACTAAAGCGGCTTGTCTGGTGCCTTGATTTATTTGTATTTGTGCTTCCATGACAGCAGCATGCTCTGTACCTGTTTAATTGGTTTGAATCAAATTTAAACACTAGGCAAGCTTAAAACAACAGAGATGCACAACAGAGCTGTGGTCTTGATTACAGAATTATGGTTGAGGTTACAAAGAAGAAAATAAAATTATAATGTCAAATCAGACATTATAATTATTTCAGATAATACAATAAAAAACCTGCTTAGCTTCTATGGTATTTTTATAGATCACAAACTTAGCATTTAGGCTGTTCTTTCTAAATAAACTCCCTTTCCCACCTTCTATTGGTCTGGTATTCCTGCTACCAGACTCTAGCCTGTGGTTTAAGTTCCAGTCCCAATTTTCTCCATCTACAGCTTGCTCAGACTAAAGTGGAAGAAAAACGCTTGTAGGATTGATACATTCAAACCATTTGAGGGAAGAATTGTGACAATGTACCGAAGAAATTTTGAGGCACAGTGAGTGACAAAAGTTCCTATCAAAAAACAATAATAATGTGTGTGAAGTAGATTTTTATACAAGATTCCTTAGGGAACCCCTTTCTTTTCAAAACTATCATTTTATGATAAAGATCATTATGGGTTTTTAGCAAAACATTTCTATTGTACTCTGAATAAAAAGTCTTTTCCCCCTGAAAGTGTTTTGAGACAAATATGTACCAATATGTGAAAACATGATTTTATCTTTATAAGAATTTCTTATGAATAACCCTTGAAAACATCTCTCTCAAGCTGCAGGCTCTCCTATTCTGTCTGCATTATTTGTATTCATACTCTCACCGGTAACATCTGCAGCCAAGGCTTTCTGTAGAGCCAAATCACAGCATTTTTGAATGAAATGTAAAACCTTTACTGATGGACCTCTTCAGTAGGCTGGGTGCAGCACTAAGTAAAAATTGATTCATTTTCTTTCAGTAAAAAGGTTCTGTATGAACCATCTACCTATCTGGCCCTGCAGGTGTACCGGTAGCGGTAGCCCTTTATGTAAGCGTACTGTGGTAAAGGTTTGAAATCTTAGCCTTATTATTGTTAGCACAGACCAGGCCCTGTTGGTTAAATCTACAACCAATACCAGTCCTAAAGACTCTGAAATCTCTGACTATAGAAAGGAATGGTCACATACAACTGAAAATTAATTCCCTGTAAAGGCAAACTCGCTCTTAGGTTATGCACTGTCGTAATTAAGGATTTAACCCAGATTGTCCCAGCACTGCAGACTAAGTCTATGCTAAACTGCATATAATGCTTTCAAGTTTGCAAGATAATGAAAAATATATAAAAAATGCTACTTAGTATATAGCTGTTTCATATAGTAGCTCCTTATTTACTTTACTGCAATATTAATTATAATAATATACTGTATTGCAGTGAAAGCTGCAGTTAAGGGACTAGGACTTCATTGTACCAGAACACGATAAAATAAAACCTGGCAAAAATAGGCTTAACACAGACACTGTCGATGCATCAGCAGAAGTGATTAATTAAGATAGGTGTCTAACTTATGGCTCTTCAGGTGTGTAAGGCTCACACAAGGTGTAAGTATGGTGAGAACATGGAATGCAGTGACTGAAGGCTGGGTGATGCTAGCAGAGGGCTCGTCTTTAACCAGCATCCCTGGCCAGGGGAGAAAGCCCACTGCAGTCGTGCTATTTGGCTGGACAGTGACACAGCTGCACAGTCAGCCTGGTCTCCTTTCGTGTAGTGAGGTGGCTGGGGAGCCTTTCTCACTAAAGAGAGATTTGCCTACAGTAGTACTTGAATTTTGTAGCTCTCACAGCAATTTTGCTTGGCGAGTGTTCTTTGTGTTTTAGGCTTGCAAGTTTGGTAATATTCAGAGAATGTAAAGCTAGCGATCTAAAATACTTATTTAAGTTATAAAGACAAGCAAGCATTTCTTCAAGGTTATTCAGGGCAACTAAATTAGCTGCTTAACAAGGATTGTATTAATATATTCCTGACTTTTTGTCAAAGTCCTGCTTATTTCATGTGAGTTTATTCAGCAAGTGGAATTATGAATTTTTTTGTGCTTGCATGGTAATGCTATCTTGCACAGAATTTGACTATCATGCTAGCTGAAGTACAGTAATAGGTCTGGGATATTATTACTATATTTCTACAGTGGAAATGTACTAGGGGACAATTAGGAGCACATGCTAATTGTGTTTGCATTGCTTAGCTTCATTTATTAGGTTTTTTTCTGCGATGTATAATAGACTTCTAATAGACATGGCTGTGTTTTCAGAAGAAGGGGGTATCACTGTGAAGAATATATTTGAAGATAAATAAGTCGCACTTGAAACAATGTACAAAACCAAAACGTGCCTGAGGTGAGGCAGACACCAAATTAGTGTTTTATCCATCTGTCTGATCTCCCATGAATTCAGGGTTACTGTACTAAACATGTAGTAACAACATATTTGAGTAAAACTAGATAGGATAAATTAGGAGCTTGAAAATAAATTTCCGATAAGCATGCTCTGCCTTCTGAAATCTGATGCACTGTGCCTGGAAAAACAAAAAAGTGGTTGTAGAATCAATGCGCTTGGAGAGTTTTTCTCAGTGTAGGCAACGCTGTAGCATATATTGACATTAAAAGCTTCAACTTTTCAGACAGCAGCAAGGGAGCACTGAAACATGTGTATTTCCTGTCTATCCCATGCAGGGAATTACTGGAACGCAGCTTCTTTTGTTACTTCATCATCTTACCTCCACTTCTCCACCTTCCAAGGGGAAACCAGCGCAGACATCTCTTTCTATTTCAAAACATCAGCCTCGGATGGGGTGTTTCTTGAGAATCTGGGTAACACTGACTTCATCAAACTGGAGCTGAAATGTAAGTATATGCTTCTCATCACTTTCTTCGCACCTGAACGGGGTTTATGACAGATAGTAGGTTTCAAGAAATGTGTGTCATTCAATAAAATGTGTAAGCTCGCTAAATTCTGAAAAACCTTCCAAATGAAGTTGCTTGGCATGTTTTCAGGTTGCCTTGTGTGGGATGAGCACTTGAAGTATACTTGGATTGTTTATTTAGGAGAAAAATACGAAGAATAATAGAACTGGTAACATCAATTATAAAAATTACACTGACTTGAAAAGGGTTTCCAAAATTGCATGTCAGTATTATTTCTTAAAAGTTTATTTTTTCAGCTCTGTGTGTTTTTCTATTTTATTCCATGGTTCCTTTCAAAACAGGGAAAAGAAAAAAAAAAAAGGATCATCCTAATCATCACTGCAAGGAGCCAAAGAGCTGAAAACTTGCATATGATATTTAAAAGCCATTAAAAATCCCATAAAAATAAATCTTTATCAGCATTACCTGTTAATAAAATCACTGATCTGAGAAAGACGGTATATGATATCAAGAGGCAAGTTAATTTTATTATTTAAACCACTTTTAATGGCCCAGGGGCAAACTTTCCAGGGAAAGGTGCCGAAACCCTCAGCTGTACCTGAATTCTGCTTAGTGAAATTGAAGTAGCTGAATTAGTGAGAAACAGGTTTTATGTCTCCTTTGTTCTCCCTCGACCCTGCCATAAATGGGAGCAGCAACAGGCCTGCTGTGCTTTGGGTGGTTGTTATTATAGCCCCTAGCAGCACATTACAGCACTGGGGTTATTTGAGTGCAGCAAGCTGCCTCCCTGCACTCCAGCACTGGGAAAAGCACATGTGCTTCCTTTTGCTGCAGGAGCTACTCATGGGCGCCAAGGAGCCAGCTCTAAATACTGATGCACAAAAAATGTCAGTGCCAAAAGTTGCTAACATTGAAAGAGAAGAAATTGCTTGTGGACCCCAAATAATCTACATTTTATGCAGAGGCAACATGATCTACATGCACACATCTAAATTGAAAACAAAAAGCCATTTTCAACACTTCCCAAAGTTTAAACACACAAATCAGAACGTGGAGACCTAGAAATCACCAGGAGGCCCCTTCAAAATGCACCTAAATTTTTCACTCTGGGAAAGAATAAATGCCAAGTTCCAATTGGATGAATGTATTTTTCCTTCTTTCTACAAGGAATTTAATTCCGTGTTGCTTAATCCCAGTTTGTCTAATTTGCAATTAGTGCAAATCAAAATAGCTCCTATTGAGTCACGAGCAATAGTCTTAATTGCTTTAACAAGGGACACAGCCCTTTAGTAATAAGGTGGCAGCTATTTCTGATTTCCCTTTGAATTTAAATAGTACTTCTAGGCAGCTGAGGTGGGTATTTTCGGAGCTTCTTACTCTTCTATTTTATGAAGGTGGTCTGCTATTGTAATCAGACCAGCCATGTTGTTCAGTTAGCTAGATGATGACAGTAGCAGTGAATACAGGTGACCATAACACTGAATAAAGGTGAGTTGGCAGTGACTCTAATTCTTTTGAACTCAGCTCAAGTTAAAAAATAATCATGCTGCAACTGCTTGCTGAATAGATGTACCAGTTCAAGAAAGTACATGGCAGTTTACTCAGAATATCGTTAAACAGCACTTTAATTTTAAGCCTGTGCTTGAGATCCACTGACTTTGCTGTGACCTGGCATATGCATAAATTCAACCTCTTTCTCATGTCCCTGAATATAAACCTTAGATTATAAGTTCTTGGTGGCAGAAATTGAAATATGATCTGTAAAAAGAGATGTGAAACATTTGTAAAAACTATGCTGACTATATAAAGTACAAAGCAGTTCATTTGATGTATTTCCATTCACTCTATCCTTTCTTTCCTGAAAACTATTTCTTGAAATTTTCAGAGTCCCAGAAAATAGGCCTTTCTGTGACTTAAATGTTCTACCAATCACAGCTCAAAAAGTGACTTAAAAAAAGTTCAAAAAGTGACTCAAAAAATGTTTTAAAAGTGTTGAATGTTGTGAGTTTAGTAACAAAGAGAAACTCGTTCTCTCTTCTGAATTGCACATTTATTTAATGAACCTATCTTTTATACAGTTTTTATGTTTGTTTCATTTCAGTCTGTACTTATGGTTTTCTGGAATTCATTCAAATGGAAAGTAAAGTTTCAGAATTTCAGAAGTTTCTTACACAGCTTGCAGATGAATCTGCTGCTTCCTAAAAGTCTGTTTCCCCTTTACAGAAGTCCTGCAAAATTAATATGTGAATTCCTTCCTCATTAGGAACACAAAGTTAAGTCAGTACAGTAATTACAGAATTACCCCCAAACTATTTCCTTTGCCAAGCTGCTTTTTGGCTAAGCCATCACATTCTCTAGTGGAACAGCTATTTTGTATTAAAGGTTTTTTACATAACAACCATCATTGCATATTTACTACAGCTGCTGTACTTCAAACAGCCTATTCTCGATTTCTTTACTTTTTATCATTCTAAAGGGAAAATGTTGAAATCAGCATCCTGCCAGTAAACAGTGCAAATTCTATTTTCTTCTTCCCTTATGTGTATAATACCTGTATGAACCTGTAATATGTGATTAGTGATGTATAAACTTAACTTCAAGTCTTTGGAAAGCACAAAAGTTGTTACTAGAAAGACTCATTAAATTATTTTACTGGTGTACTGTCTCTGAGTCTAATAAGTCTTAAGTCTTATCTTGTCTTAAGGTCTAACAACTGCATAGATTTGCTCCAGGTTCATATATATATATATATAAAAAAAAAAAAAAAAAAAAAAGGTGGAATTTGCAGTATCTTTAAGAGTAATTTCATGCAACTTTAGTAAAGCCCCAGACTGCCATCTCTGAGAAGAGAGGAAATACAGGAAGGAAGGGAAGAACACATTTCTCTGATTTAAGAAATAACCCTTCCAAACATCTGAAAAAGAAGACTGTCAAGAAAAAAACAGTGATATAATTCTACTATGAATGTGGCTGAAGTCTTTAACTATTTCATTTATCAAGAAACTCCTCTGGCAGGCTTGTACTTGTCACCATTACGGAACAGCTGACAGAGATGTAGAATTACCTGAAGCCTCAATTTTTACATACATCAGTAAATCTACAGAGCTTCATTATTTTCATAGCTGGCTGGCCAGCCGACAACATCTAGGACTGCTTAGAAAGGAAAGGAGTTGAATAAGGTATTAATTTTTCTGTAAATCAGAACTTCCTGAAACCATTCATGTGTGGTCAAAATTTCCACGTTTTTAAAATTAAAACTGTGTTTTAGAGAGAGAAAAAGAGGATGTTTTCTCTTTTAGAGTTTTCTTATATAGTTTTGTAAATTTATGAAAGATGAGCAAAAGTTATGACAATGAACACCTAACTACTTTGTACCTGAAATGTTTGTCAAATAAATCACATTTGAATTTTCTGTATAAGAGATATCCCGAGTTTTGGAAAAGATGTGTTCCTGAAAGCAAATATTGAAAGGACCATATTCATGAGAATTTGGGAAGAAGGTTCTACTGTTTCCAGAAAACTCTCTTAAGGACAGTGTCATATAATTCTAATGAAGAAGACATTCTACTCACTTCTGTAGCATCTCTCATCCCATCATCACCAAGCAATGAATTGTGTCTCATTGTTATTGTTTGAAGTAAGTAAACAGCAAGGTTACTTACTTCAGGAGAGGTTTAGGTTGGATATTAAGAAGCAATTTTTTACAGAGAGAGTAATCAGAAATTGAAATGGGCTGCCCAGGGAAGTGGTGGATTCACCATCCCTGGAGGTTATTAGGATGAGACTGGATGTGGCACTTAGTGCCATGGTCTAATAACCACAGTGGTGTTGGATCAAGGGTTGGACTTGATGATCTCGGAGGTCTTTTCCAACATGATTAATTCTATGATTCCAAGTCACTTTAGCAACAGAAGAAAAAAAAATATGAGGCTTAGAAATAAAGGTCAACTTGTGTTTGATCCTGGCATTAACATGTAAAAGAGGAAGGATCTTTCTTATTAATTTGTTTAGAAAGCTAGGAATATTTACAACCACTACTTTCAGGGATGCCATGTGACTGATAACCCCTGCAATGCTAGGTGCCCCAAAAAGTCTCCCCAAGGAGTGATCATTGAACTTGGCAGCTGTGAAAGAGATTATGTGGAGCAGCTTGCTAAAGGGAGCAGTGGTATAGCTTCAGGATGTGTCTACTTGCTCTGTGGGCAAGGAGTACTGACAGCACTCTAATACCTAACATTTACATGTGAAAAGTCCCACGATGCTTCCGGTGCTTAGCTGTTTCTGGGCTACTCAGTTAAGACATAAGTAACTCCTCTAAAATCAGACAAGAAACAGTGACAGACTAGGGACCGTGATTCCCATTGCTGTTTTCTTCTACCCAGAGAGCATTCCTCCCTCCAGACTCACTGCTCTAAATCAAGGCTGATTAATATATTTTCTTACAAATTTTAATAACTCCATCACTTCTTTCTCCAGAGGCATCCTAAAATAGAATTCTACCATATCAATGAGTTTTCCATATAATACTCAAATTACCATATGTTACAGTAAATATAGCTTACCTTTTCCACCCCTTAGTTTTTTACCTGGGTAAGGAAAGTGTTGTGACCTTCACTATTTCTTTTAATTGAGCTGTTACTTTTTTTCCCTAGCAGAAGGTCACTTTTCTGTAAAAAATCCCTGTAGTAACGCATGCTGCATTAGCCACATGTCAAAAAATGCATAGGACAAAGAAACATCTCTTTATCCCAGAGGCCTACGAGAAGTTATCAAATTAAAGGGGAAAACATTACATTTCTTCAGGGAAATTTATGATCCAAATGTTTTTACAGCAGTATTTGCAAACCCTCATCCTATTCCAGGACAATGAAAGTTTCAAACAAAAAAACAAACAAAACATTCTGAAGAACTGCGAGCAGCATTCTTTGAAAGATAAGATTCTATTTCAGATGAGGTAGGTGATGCAGAAATGCCTGATA